GAGTTGATTCCACGAAAGAGGATCACTGGGTCTTGCTCCGTTCAACTTCCTAACTTGAAGCCATGTCATAAGGGTCATGTAAGGACACACAGTCTTCGATGTAACAACAACGCTAGTTGCACACCCTTTCTGAAGGGATCTGTTTTGGAAGCTTTTAAGGTTAAGATGCACTTATGTTGTGTCTGTTCAAATTGCACATCGCTCACTGTTAGATAGACATCTGGATCAAACGACGAGGCACAAGTAAATTCTCCACGTGGGAGAAATCCAAAATAGGCAGTTATGCACATACATTGCATAGCCAGATCGTTTTAATGTCAAAACACACCTGCTCGTAATTGAGCCACTAGTTCACATAAAACACTGTAAGTAATAGGCAAGCGCTTCTTTGTAGATGTTGATTGCATTTTCTTGTAACCTCTTTGTTCTGAAGTGTCCGGGAACAGTGTCCGGGAACAAGTGTCATGTTCCTGGACACAGTAGTCTATTCATAGGTACACAACAGCTTCGTGGAAAGCGTTAAAGTTGGCATGCAGCACATGCTTCTTGCTTTATGAGCGTAAAATCCGCATGCTCTGCAAACAGTGTATACAGTTGGCTTCTGGCGTTCATATGTGCAAGTAGTAAATGGATATCTCTCTCTAAGTTACAAAATAGTGAATTAGAATAGTACAGAAATAGAATAGAATAGAAATAGTTGAGAGAGTTACCCATTTACATTGTTATCATACGCTAATCAAACGGCAACTTCATTTTAAGTTTCAAATCCATTTCATTTTAACTTATTACATTTTCATTGTTTAGTTGATTAGAAGGGGATTTCACGTTTAGTTGATTGCAAGGTAAGTTCATTTTTAGTTAATCTGAGTTTAGTCTTCCACTGCGAACCACTCTTAATTTTAAAAGTCTGTAGTCTGTGTACAGCTCCTGAAGATACATCGTCAAAAAGGGTCTTGACACCAGCTTGGAGGTACATGAACTTGATACCGGCCAGATTGTCCATGTGAAGTGCCTTGACACCTCGTACAAACATGTAAGAATGGGCAGTTGTGTCGAGTACATCCAAAGTCATTAAAAATTGTTACATACTTCTCGTCCCTGATTCATAACACGTGGACGGCCCCTTGAGTCGGTCTGATGATTGATCTGTTGTTATGAGTCCCAGGTATTATTAGGCAGTTGTCTGTTTGGGTCTGCCACATTTTGACACGATTCTGTGTTGTGGGTAATGCTATGGCTAACATTACAAGCACGAGATGGAGGCCAGATGAAACTCTTGTCCATAGTCTCTGATCGGGTATATCCCACCTAATGCCGGTGCCTTCCTCAGGAAAGGCTGCCACTCTTGCCGCGAACAATCTATTGGTAATCATAGTGGGCTGTCCCACCATAGTGGCCAAATCAATCACTGTCTGTTCATGGCCGTCCAGTTGACATCGTTTCTCTGCATTGCCAGCACAGCATATATCCTTGTATATTCCAAATGCCTTAATGAATTCTCCAAGTGTTAATGAGCGATTAATCCTTGGTTCATCACGTAAGTGGCAAGTCTGTCCATCAAAGTCTGACACTTTCCTGGTTTGGCAGAAGAAGCAAGGCTGAATTGATATATTTACCTTGTTGTATCCTCATTTTTGGAGTGGATGAAATGTGTGTATGTGTGGCCGTGAATCCGAGGGTACGTCCCTGTGTAGCTGTCTGGGAACATCACTACTTGCTCCTGTGGCTTGTCTTGACTCCTCTCTGGGGTTGTCGTTGTCACTGGTGGTGGTAAATGTTCGTGTAGGAGGTTGTAATTGTTATCCAAAGTTCATGACGATAGACTTCAATTCGGCGATCTCTCTTTGTAATGAAAACACTGTCACTGTATTTTCTGTGGCACTAGCAGAATTTATCAGAGCAAAATCCTGTCAATTGTCTCTCTGTAGCGGCACATCACCGCCTTGATCTTGACTGACTGGAGCTGGTTGAGAGATCGTAGCGGTTGTGACCGTGCTGTTGGTGCCTGTCATCACCCTCAGATTTTCATTGTAGATCTGCATTAATGTCCGTCTGGACCAGGAAGTGGGCACATTGACACCCATGTCTGTCAGACGTGTCAAATATCAGCTGCTGTCAAATATGGAGAGCTTCTGTTTATATTCCTGCGAGAGGAAACTGCTTCGCCACGATCGTCACCATTGTTGTTTTCATGCAGGTCAGAGGTCGTATGCTGGTTAACCCTTCGTGTTGATTGAGGTCTGGCTTTAGATCGTCGTCTATCAGCCTTTGTTACGATAGCAACAAACAGTTGTACTGCATAACATCACAGGATGGCAAAGGATTGTTGTAGATTTTCCTTGGATGGCCGTGATTCGAAATGACAGCTGAGAGAACAATGGATACAACCTGAACGACATCGAGGCTCTTGTTGTTAATATAGATAAACAAAATGATGTCACATCTGTAGTACTGAGCATGCTCTGTAGAAAAAATATTGCATTCTGGGAAGTTCTGGTGCCAGTACCTGGTCGCGGTAAGCAGCAGCATTGAGGTTGCCACGGATGACAAGAAGCCTGGAACGTGCATTGCCACAGAAAGCACCCCACACCATGACACTTCCACCTCGAAATCTGTCAACTTTCTGTACACAACACTGGGCGTAACGTTCATGACGGTGCCTCCACACCCTCGACCTACCATCAGCAAATCGAAGATTTAATCGGGATTCATCACTGAAGACGACTTGATTCCAATTCCTCTGAGTCCATCGTAAGTGTCGCTGTGCCCACAATTGACGTTGACGTCTGTGTAATTGAGTCAGAATCGGCCCGCAGTATTGCCATCGTGCTTGAAGGTGAGCAGTTCTCAGACGGTTTCGAACAGTTTGCGCACCCAGTCTACCCCTAAACGGTTCATTTCTGGTTGATGTACCCGTCAAACATCGGTTACGGAGGTGACATAAGACAATCTGACGATCCTCTGCATGTGACGTCACACGTGGTCGACCTGGCCGAGGTTGATCAGCGGTGGTACCCGTTTGCTGTAGAGGCGTCTGTAAATCATAAACAGTCTGTCAACTACAACCCATCGTCCTTGCGACTTCAGCCACGGACGTTCCCGTCTGCAACATGCTGATGGCAAGTTCACGTTGCACATTTGAAAGGCGTGGCATGACAAATGGCCGTAAAGACTTTTGTTTTCTTGTGTTTTTCTTTTTTTGTTAATGACTGCTAACAGTCGCACGTGAAAAACCACTTTTGCCACTTTTGTGCTGTGCACATGATTTTGATCGATTCACCTGCACTAAAACTGGTGTTATCTGAAGACAATACGTGGCCATTACTGTTTAAATACACAATAAGGGCCCACAATGATAACTGGTCAAAATGTTAAAATTTTAGGATTGTGAATTTTTTTTAATTTGGTTCAGTATAGTTATAATTGAGGTGTGCATTTACAACACTGTGGGGTTGCATCTGAAGGCAAAATCTAATCACAATGAGTGAGTGCGGGAATGAATATGGTTTTACGCCGCTTCAGCAATATCTCGGCAATATCACTGCAGGGGACACCAGTGAAGGGCTTCACACATTGTATCTATGTTGGGAAGCGAACTGGGTCTTTGGCATGACGAGTGATAGCCCCTAATCACAATGAAATTTCACAACATACATGAAGAACACAGGGGACAAGTGCATATGTAAGAGTGAATATCATCCTACCCTATTTGTTATCCCGGGGATGATATTCTCTAGTGTCAGGATGATTCTCCCTAGTGAATTTGAAACCATACCAGTGTGTTTAATCCTATCCTATACTATACTCTAGAGTAATACTTCCCCGGGATAATACTTAGGTAAGATATAATCCTTGCCTACACATACAGAAGCCAAAGTATGTGAACTCAAAGGGGAACTCACAACCACTAATGCAACTGAGCTGAGCATAAGCTTAAAAATGCCTCTGAGACTGTATCTCAATGTACAGACAGAATGGCAAAGTGTGGGTATGATAGAGAGGGGAACGTCAATAACCCAAGTTGCGGAAAAGTTTGGCAAATTAAAAAGTGTTAAATCTCGACTGTTGGACAAGTACCATTAAATAGGTGCAATGAGACATGGGTTTGTGAGGCTTAGAAAACATGACACCTAGAAAAGAGCTCTTTATAACATCAGTTGCACTTCACAATATATTTAAATCTGCTCCAGTTATCAATACAGAATTTCTTACAATAACAGGAAGGCAAATATCTACATCTACCATTAAAAATGGGCTCTATGCAGCCAGTCTGAAAGCAAGGCTGTAAGTGTAAGCAAGGATTATATTCTACCTAAATATTATCCCGGGGGAAGTTTTACTCTAGAGTATAGTATCCTACCTTAGTGCCACACTGGTATGATTTCAAATTCACTTGGGAGAATCATCTTGACACCAGAGAATTTCATCCCCGGGTTAACAAATAGGGTAGGATAATATTCACTCTTACAAAAGCTGTGGTCTAATGGAGCCCCATGGTGACCAGCCCTGCTCACATAGTCTACTTGACACAGATGATCAATGGCTTGTGTAGATACTGTTGCTGTTGTCTTCAACCACACGGTAATCTTGTTGATTACCGGTAGCTGTAAGCCGAGAAACACGAATGATTGATTCTATAGTGACAGTCGCTGAAACCGGACGCTTCCTTGTTGTCCCCGTGGTACAGTAGTCAACAGTATTCATGGCTTATGCTTGATCCAGCAGTTACTTGCCCTTCTAGATGAGTTCAGGGCTCCTAGTGGTACGTTTATGATAGTCAAACCATGTGGGTTTAATGAAATCAGTCCACATGATATCTGTCGCTTCTCGGCAGTCCATGTGACCATGCCATGGGATATACCTGATGGTGATAAAATCTTCTTGGGAACCAAAGGATTGCAGCCTCATGACCCCACAGTTTGATGTCCCCCCAACCATGGTGTAATTGAGGTACAGTATTCGCAGGAATTGTGTGCTTGAACATGGCAAATTTGGCTTACCTCATACATTCATCTATCATGAGACCCTCTTTGACTGACGTCTCTGTCCACCCCACAAACTCATGCTCCCGGCACACCTCCTCTACCTCTTCCTGCTCCACTTCTCTGTGGCTTAGATCACACTATGAAAGGAAACAAAAAAAGGATAATTTTTTCTTGGTTATTTGGTTTATTAAACAATCACAACATGAAATACTTTATATTATGCAACAATAAGTCACAAGGCTCTATAGCTGAACTGAAGTTGTTCCACCATTTACAAGTTCAAACATGGAATCATACAATCAACACCATTTCCTGAATATACCCAAATCATTAACACGCTCACAAAAAAAGGGTCATGACAGTTTGAATTGTCAACAATGATCACCACTTAACAAAAGTTTCTGTCAGCACTGATATTCAAATATTTTCTAACAAAAAACACCAAAACCTAATGATCTGAACATTATAAGATGAAGCATACATGCCAAAGTTCAGCTGGCATTTTTGTAATTGGAGAAGATATTTCAATATGGCTGAAATAGCAGGTTGGAGTTAGGGTGTCATCATATGTGGGAAGTTCTGGGAACAAGCATGACTTGTCTAGTGATGATCTTTACATTGTGAGGCAATGCATTTTGAGAGAAATTAGGAGAATAGTCAAAGAGTTAAGGTGATAAAAAGTCAAAATGAAACTTCAACTAAATCTCTATAAATTTTTAACAAAAATTGCTGAGTAATGGCCCAAAATGTTTAAGCTTGCAGCATGGTCCAAGTTCAATGGTCAAATTAAGGTCATGATATAAAAATTTTGAAAAAAGAATACCTTATGTCCCACTACTATCTAAATGTACCAAATTTCATTCCATTTGAAAATAAAAGCCTGAGTAATGTTCATAAATTCAGCAATAGTTATCATTGTTTATAATTCTAAGAATTACATCTCTGCCATAAATCCTGTATTTTGGCTTCAGTCACAATTACTAAAATTTTCAGATTTTCAACAGACGTCCTCTTCACTGCCAATTACACGCACAACTAGTTGTCGCCTAGTAGTCTCGTAACTACCCAAGCCATATGAAACTTCCACCCATGTTACATCTCTGCCAGAATATACCAGGGGATCTGCCTCTAGTAACTCCCTGTGTAATTGACAGACTTGAAATAATTTCCTCTGAATTTCCCCTTGAGGACTTGAAAATCAGAAATGTGTCAAGAATCAGCCATCATCACTAGAATTACCGTTACATTTGCTGATCTTGATCTTGAAAATGATGTCATTTCTAACCTTATTTTGCCTCATGATGTAATTTCTTGTTAAATTTGGATCTTGTGACCTTAATAACGGTGATGACGTTACTTCCTGTTCTGATGTCATTCCTAATATGATGTCACTTCTCGTATGTCAAATCCCCTTTTCGAGGTAATGATGTCTCTAGGTCTATTTCTACCCAAAGACGTCATTTAATGATAACATGAACCCTGTTCTGCTATTTCTGGTGCTGATGACTTCCGGTTATGTTCACCCGTCCGGTGATGACGTCACCTCCGGTCTAATGGAAACAGTTGATATTAAAGGTGCTTCTAATCCATCCTACAGATATAACAGACAGAATAATCAAGGGTGTACTCACCCTCTGATGCTGCTAGTGTCATGCAAGTAAAAGCTGGTGAAGGTGTTTTGTGAGGCCCATTGACAGCTAGAAACTACTTGTTCTACTGAGACTGATGTCCATGAAGCGAGACTCTTAGCTAGGACTCTGATTTCATGAGCTGAGCAGGATCCGAGACGTGGCGTGGAATTCTGAGCCTGTGTATAATTTGATGCAACTGTAGCTTTCAGTGAGCCTGCTATTGTAGCCTTGGTGATGTCCTTGTTGGAATTAGTCTTACAAGGTAAGAAGAGTCTCCTTCGATGGCATATGTAGCTGTGAGATAAAACTTAAGAGCTCTGACGGGACATAAAAGTCTGTCTGGGTGATCCATTGTTGGTCCCAATGCAGGAATTGTATAGTATCTATGGCCCAACGGTCCCATGGTGATAGACTGATTCTTGACTACGAAGTCTGGGAGCAATCTTAAGAGTTATTGAGGTCCAATGTTGACCATGGGTGAGACAAGAATAATCTAAGGCATGTAATTCTGTAACTCTTGCTGATGTTGCCATGTGTCTTGCCCCCTACGAGGCAATATTTTACGGACGCTTCTCTTTCTATCTAAGTCAATAAGAGTTATCTTTTCTTACCTTTTTTTTCAAACTTCCGGAAAAAGCACGTGTTTCAAATCAGTGGTTTCTACGCCTACTCAAAGGTCTTATCACCATTACTCAAGTGCTGACATGTACAGGTTTTTTACCCCTTTTTGTACTACGGGTTTATGACGATTAAAGAAACAATACAAGCATCTTTTCGAAGTCGTTATACCATGGCTAGGAGGAAAGACGCTTTCCTGGCTTTTTGGAGTAGGGTAGTTTAGCCATGAGCTTGTAAGGTTCTGTTAACAATGCCGATAGTACCACAGATAGTTCCCACTTGGGGAAGATACGAGGTGTTTGAACATCTTCTAGTAGAAAGGATCTCATTAGTCTGTTTAGAATGGGATGGTTACTGATTGATAATCCATCATGTTGAAGTACAGAGTGAAGAGCTGATCTATTACCTTCTATCGTCCAATGTCGGAATTTGTTGTCTTGATGTAGATGTAGTAGAAAAAACGCTACCATAGGGATGGATATAGCATTAGTTATAATCCCTTGTTGTGTCCTCCACTGGATGAACTTGTCCCATCTGGTGTCATAAGTAAGGGAGAATGAAGGTCTCAATGATCTTGTCACAGCTTCTGAGGTAATCTCAGAGTATCCGGATGTCTGCATACTATGTGTAATAACTTCCAGGCGGTTAGATGTCGGCTGGACAGATTGTCGTGGAAAATGCTGGACTTGGCTTTGTCCAGCTGGACAGATCTCGATGGAGAGGTAACTGGATAGGTTCTTCCATTAGTAATCTTAGTAGTCTTTGGAACCATGCCCTGCTGGGCTGTCTTGGGTCTATCAGTATTATTACGCAATCCGTCTCCTCCACCTTGTGGATGACTTTGTCTAGGGAAGACCATGGTGGGAATGCGTAAGCAAATAGATTTGTCCAATCCATCATCAATCTGGTGAGCTCTTGGGTCAGGAACTGGACTGACATTAACCAGAAGTTGGTTCTTCTGAATGTAGGCCACTACTGTGGTGTTGTCTGTGGCTATGTGAACGGATGATTAGTAAAGATGTATCTTCCATTCCAGGATGGCGTAATAGATGGCCTTCATTACACTACCTCAGCGACTTGCTGAGTTGACTTGAAAGTGATTGAATCATCTTTAGCGTCTTGTCGAATTGATCCTCTGGTGGGCATAGATATCCCCTGTCTAGCTGGAATCTTGCTCTGATGTAACGTGAAAACTGTGTTGTTAGCGAACCAATGCCGAATCCCTGGTAGACGTATAGGCGCACCCGTTATGTATCGAGGAGCGGTCGTGGGAAGAATTCAACAATGTATTACGTAGGACATGTTGAATATAAAAAATTACTGGGTTTAAAAGATTGTACCGTTCCAATTGTTTCCATCTCTTGGGTTTCGCCTAAGCATTCCCATTGTTATATCGGGGGACAATGGTGTGTGGTGTCTCCTTCACTGTGTGTGCAGGCATTGCTGTAGTTACATGATGTACAGCAGCAGGTTGTGGTTGTTGTCTTAGGCATAAGCATCATGTAAGTCAATCTGTACAATATACTGCACGAATCCCAATAGAGGGGAAGATCTGTGTGTCTTGGCAGCTAGGCTGAAAGTTGATGCTTGGAATCGCTCCTTGAATTTTGCCTGACTTCATCTATGATTTGTCCCAATTGGCTCTTGAATGTCTTGGGAATAGAAATTGGTTGACATTATCAAACTCTTGGTTTACCTGGAAACAGCTCTTTACCAATTCTCTGCTGGTATATGTTGAAGCCAAACTCATAACAGCTGTGAAGACATCCAGACTTGGGAATAATCAGATCTGGACCAGACAATCCAGTGATTGATATCATGAGCATCAGACTTGGGTGGAGTGTAAGTAATGACATACTTTGACTCGTTAAAAGTCATATTTGTGGCAATTTGGCTAATATATTTCAACATAACATTTTCGCAATCGAAATACCTGTCGCGGGGAAGTCCCTACGGTGACTGGTCAAATTGTTTCATACATAAAAATATCCTGCAACAGCAATCACCAGTACCAAAATGCTACGCTTGTGGTTTTTATAATTTTAAATACATGCAGAGTAAAAGCTGCAACTAAAGTGACACGATATTGGAATATATTATTCCTGATAAAACAATAATTTCAGATACAATTTCTTCGATCATTGCATACAAACTCTTTGAAGTTGTATCACTGGTGAAGTACATTAATTATTTTCTGGTGTTTGAACTTTGAATTGTTTTGAAGGAAAGTTAGAGAAAGTTCCACTTTGTAGCTTAACAACTTCAGTAGTCTTGTTATTATAAAATAATGTTGACTGTTCCAAAATCATGAAAGGTTCAATCTTGACATGCTTTAAGTCTTGTTTTTGTATCATTGCGTATCGAGATACGTATCGTATCGTGACCAGAATATCGAGATGCGTATCGCATGGTGACCTTCCTGTATTGTTGCAGCCCTACTTGCAGGCATAACTCGGCCAAGGCAAATGTCTGCAGGATATTCTCGTCATCTGGGGTGGAGAATTCTGTGTCATAGGAGGTTGGAGCACAGGCATAAGACGGTAGAGTTCTTCTATCAACTCTACGAAGGTGTAACCTTTGGTGTAATCCCACTGGGGTGATTTGCCAGCCTGTTCTTCGCACTCTGTTTCCACATCCGAGTGACCTTGGACAGCTCCCGTGGGGGGTGGATAATCGTAGTACTCCTTCTCTACCCCGTGGGGTTCCGGTGTCCATGATTCCGGTATAATTTGCCTCCATGCGGTCTGTGATAGTCCGTGCAACGACCTTAACAACTGGGTATCTGGATGGCCTGTCAGGCGGCTGGGTTGCCATGAAAGGCAGGTCTATGGAGTCTGTGTAACCACTGTATAGTGTCTTCATCTGGCTGGTCGAATGGCTTGTCGGCT